CTGAGAATCACAGAGAAAAGTGATGTGTACAGCTATGGTGTAGTGCTCCTAGAGGTTTTAACAGGGAAAGAACCTACTGATGACCGGATCCCTGAAGGTGTCCACATTGTCACATGGGTTAGCAAGGCACTCCGAGAAAGAACAGAATTGACAACAATCCTAGACCCGCAACTTCTTTTGCGATCAGGTACACAACTCCAAGAAATGCTTCAGGTGCTTGGGGTGGCCCTCTTGTGTGTGAACCCTTCACCAGAAGAACGACCCACCATGAAAGATGTAACAGCGATGTTGAAGGAGATAAGACATGTAAATGAGGATTTTGAAAAACCAAACTATCGTGGCATGGAAGCGACTTCCAATCCAAAAGCAGCAGTTCACTCCTCTAGTTTCTCCAGATCATCTGAACCTCTAATTAGACCACCTTCATAAATCCGTAGCTCTGTAAAATCTTGCATTCAGTTCATTGATTATTTTTCAAACTACAAAATAATTTGTATAGATTGATATATGCAGTACCACCAGGGCTACAAGTTCTGTTTATTTTACCTAATTCAAGTTTGGCTTCATTCAATTAGTGAGCGCGTTCCCTGTTCATATTGCCATCTTTCTAAAGAGAAGACGAGGCTATGAGTAAAAGATTGTTGTTCTACTTCCCAGTTTGCCAATTCCGCCATCCTGTAGTTAAAAATGAAAGAAAATGATTCTGATAGATCCTCTCAAGAAGTTCAGATTTTTCAGACATGCACTTAGATTCACTCAGATGTTCTTTATTCCGATTTCCTCCCAATCAGAACATTCATAACTGCTAAGAGATGCATGTGCCGCACAACCAAGGAGACCAAAATGTCAAGAGAATAGTAGCCTATCTTCTACCTGAAATGGTGCCGTCTACGTTTATTCTTTTTTCCCTGATAGCTAAAATTCGTTTATGAGAAACTAACACGCCCCCCAGACTGTCATCTTAGCACCAGGAAGCCGCTTCCATGGACAGCAGGGTCACAGAAAGCAAACAATAATCAAAAGTGCTACAGTACAAATATATCAATTAGCATGGCCTTGTTATCAGAGTCACTTTTCAGCCTGGGACCAACGTAAAAGGAAATTTAGCTTATGATCCTATGGGGTTGTCTATAGGGATCCGGGCCATGGCAGTGACAATCCGGGCCATGGCAGTGAAATTATGGGGACGCGGACGGACCACCGCCCCCATAAGACCATCCAAAAGAGATCTCATGCGCTCCATGTTCCGGAAAGGATACATTGCTCTCTAGTCATGTGATCGCAAACCATGTCAGGCCCACGTATAGTTGCAAGAACCCTATCAAGCTCTAATGGCTAAGAATGCAAGTAACCAGCAATGTTAGTCATTAGTTAATTAGTTCGATGGAGCTTTTCATGCACGCGATTCAAACCTCAATAATAACAGTAATGTTTCAATAATTTCATCTTAATTGTTTTCTTCTTATATGTACGAACAAGCAATTTTAAAAAAAGAAAAAATAATGATCAATAATGGTTGGTGCTTCTAGTAGGCAAACGGTTTACACAGCACACTTGGTAACATTAATAAATCAAATGAAAGGTGTAGCTCGCCACATATCAACTACTATAATACTGTTAAAGCATATTTATCGTCTGCTGTACGTGTTCCCAGTAATCATAAGAGTTAGTAATGTTTTAACCTGCTGCAGTACTTGTTAATACCAGTGAATTAATTCATAAATATAAACATGGAATGCTTGCTGCAAGAAAATAATTCAAAGAATCAAGACGCATAGTAACAGAATAGAATTTTGCCCTTCGACGGCAACGTGGCAACAGGAATCAACAGTGGAACAAAAAAATCTGGCTGCATGTTCACAACATAAATCGCACAACACAATAATATTACTAGAACATGCAAATTAATCTTGTAATGCAAAACAGTCCAAGAATAAAGACCATGCAAATCCTATTCAGGATTTCAAAAATGTTCGAAGCCGAATACCACCCAATTTATGTTATTATTTATACAATATATTAAAAGAAATTATCTTTTTTTATTTATTGTTCATCCTTTCACAATACACTTTGAATTAAAATAGTATTTATTTTTTTTATTATTATTTTCACTTCTATCCTCAATCTTTTATTTTGGGTGAGTTAGTTATTTTGAGCCCAAATTAACCTTAAATTTCATATTTTTTAAGGAGAAGAAATTGAATTAAAAGATAAAAAACTAAACTGAAAAAATATAAAGAATAAGGGATGAGTTTGAAGTTTGTTGTGGAAGTCCATTTTCACCACTCATATTTTTGAGATATTAGGTTATCAATTCCTGTAATTTTCATAAATCTTATTTTGATACCCAAATTCATTTTTTTTTATTTTCAATTCTTTTTTAATTGGAAAAAAGAGAGAGAGTTGTCGACTTCCAATGTAAAAAAAAAGAAATTAAGTTGTCACCGGTGATAATGTCGACCACCAAAATAATCATTCTTTGTGTCAAATTATGACAAGAGAGGTGATGATTAGAATGCTTTTTAACTTGAAAACACCTAAAAAACAGAATAGGAATTGGAAAGATTTTTTTAGTAAAAAAATAAATCCTATTTTTTTAGCCACACCAGTAGCTAGATTTTGAGCTTAGTAAAATCGAATTTCAATGTGAAAAAAGAGAAATTAAGTTGCCACCGGTGATAATGTCGACCACCAAAACAATCATTCTTTATGTCAAATTATTTAATATGATAAAGGAGGTTATGATTAGAATGTTTTTTAACTTGAAAACACTTAAAAAAGATTTTTTTAGTAAAAAAATGAATCCTATTTTTTTAGCCTCACCAGTAGCTAGATTTTGAGCTTAGTAAACGACACATCATTTTTATCTTGAGTCATCCTCCCCATTAAACTTGAAAAAAATAAAAGATTTATGTGCAGGTTGTAGTTTTATAGGCCAAGCATGGGGGCCAATTCTTTTCTTTTTTAAAAAAATGATTTTTTAAATTGATGCCTTATTTTTTATGAATTTTTAAAAATAATTTTTTGGTATATAGTTTAATTAATACCTATTTTCTATTATTTGTTTTGCTTATTTAGTCTTTTTTTAGATTGCGATTATTTTTTAATGATAGTAAATGCATTTAATTTTTAAAGAGGTTGATATGATTTATATGTGAGTTTTATTTTTTTAAAAAAATAATATAGATTGAATTTTTTAAAAAAATGATTTTTTATAAGATTTTTAATGGGTAATCTTGCATGGTATTTTTTTAATTTCATTTTATTCATGCAATTTAAAAAGTTAACAATGATTGAAATTTTTTTGTCCTTTTTTTTAATTTCGTCATTTGACATTATTTTTTAGATTTTTGTGTTATTGTCTTATATTTTTATTATATTATTAAATTAATCAAGATTTAACCTAGTTATCAAATTTCTCTTACTTCTTTAAAAATATAACTATATCGTGAACTTTTTTTTTCTGGTAAAAAAAATTGGATCTTAGATGTTTTATGAATAGTGTACAAATAAAATTATTGAGATGTTTTATAAATATTGTACAAATATATTTTATAATATTGGAAAGCTGTCCATTTTTTGTATTGAATTGTTATTGTTTTTTACTCTATTTATTTGTTATCAATAGTTTATTTTCTAATCATGTTATTAAATTAATCAAGTTTATTAATTTCATCTAATTTAACGACTAGAATCTTAGATTTTTTCTCTTTTTGAAAAATATTTAAATTGTTTTGATATCTTTTTTATAATAAGAAAAAATAAATAGACTAATAACATAACTCCAGTCACCAAGCTAGTTTGTATCTGAATACTTTAAACTTATATTTTTTTAGAAACGCAAGATATCCTACATCAGCTTGCATGTACTATATTAAATCCTTACAGCTCAAAACTAGTTTTTATATATGGTTAAGCCCCGTAACCCGTGTGCCCAAGATATTTGGTGCCAGTGAAATTCAAAATTTAAAACATGATTGGGGCATTTTAACAAACCAATCACCTGACTAGGATTTTTTATTTATTTTTTTGAATGTGAAGTTAAAGGAAGGAATGTGATGCAAGAACTAAAACAAACCTAATCAGGAGATGTAAGCTGGACCCAAGCATACCTTAGGGCCCCCGATTGATCAATCACTCTTTGATGACTTTCGTGTCTAATTGCCCAACTGTTAAGCAACGATGTTGAGAACACTCATGCATTCACCTACACAAGCAATTACGGCTGTGTTTGCTACGAGGGATGGATTGGATAAAGTGAAAAGATGAAGATGAGAGAATCAGTTCACCCACATGAAAGCATTCAAAATTACAAAGTAAATCTGAAATGTGTGACTTAGATTCTGAATTTATTTTCTAGATAGTATTAGTTTGAGTGCTATAAATTTTAAAATAATTAAAAATTTATTTAATTGTTAATTTTAGAAGATTAGTTCAGATATGTATAAGGTAATCTGGATAGCATAGTTAAAAAAAAAAATATTACAAAGCAATGAAAGGATATGATATTAGTTGGTCCATCTAAATTTGTAGGATTGAAAATTATAAACGAAGTCGGATGAGAAGGTCCATCCAATCCCTCCTTAATTCCTTGTCCTTAATGTCATATGATTGGATAAACCCAATCCCTCCCTTTTTACTCATCCTTCCTCCTACTAGCTTGTAATTTCTGGATAATAATTTCTAATAAAAACCTGTTTATTTTTTTTGTTTTAAAAAATTGAATTTTTTTAAATTAATTTTATTTTCATCATTTTCATATTGTGTGTTTGTGTGTTTTGATGTAGTAATATCAAAAATAAATTTGAAAACTATGTTTTATCTACATAGTTTTCCAATCTTCTATATAATCATCACCCACATATTATCCGGACACCATAAAACCAACAAGAATGGACACTGGAATTTTCCCTCTCCATTTTACCATCAAAAATAAAATTAGTTGCATCTTACAAAATACACTCTTTTTTATTCATTTCTATTTTTAAATAACAAATGTATAGGAATGTAAACCTACGTAAGTCATGAAATCATATTTCACATATATCTCAATATAATTACTCATGTTAAGCTAAACCTTGCGTCCTGCTCTTGGAAGAGTCCAAAGATGAATTAGAACACTGGAGGCATAACAAAGAAACAGCAGCGGTGACAGAAAAAATTCATGATGCTGTAGAATAATCAATAATAGGCTATCAATATCACAATGATTATGAATTCTCAGAAAGGAGACACAGCATACCATAGAACAAAATTCAGGCTTTTGGATTCTGATCCTGAAACCCAACATGGGAGGTTACTTCGCCCCAGGATGCCATTTTATGCTGCATCCAACACTGTTTGGCAACAAGAATCCATCACTTTGGGCATCTTATTACAGAAAGAGAACTTAAAGACATCTAGGAAAGAAGAAAAACAAGATGCCATATACCTGGGTTTCTGAACTGGTGATACTGGCTGGCCACTAAGAACAGAGTCAATTGCAAGACTTAAGTCCCTGAACCAAATTATTAACAAGTGATTCAAAACATAAATACCTTTATCTTCTTTGAAATTGCAAGATTACATAACATCAGTTCAAATGGAATTTGTAACAAAAAAAAGCCAACCTTCCAGTGATAGGCACATTATTACTGGGTCTGGAATCATCATACAGGCCATGATACACCAGCTCAAATGGTCTCCGTCCATCCTATGGAATTAAATTAATTTAGTACCACTCTTGCGTGCACTGTGATGTTGGGTGCTTATGGCTCAATTCACAATGATATGACATTCCTGAATAGAAAGTTACGTTTTAAGGGTGTTGAGTGGTAGAGAAAAACAAGAGCATGTAATCATGTGACATGCTTGAAATGCCCACGTAAAGCAATTACTGAAGGTTGTGAGTACCTTTTTAAATAGGAAGAACTCTGGTGTACAAACTGCTCCAAAGTCTCGAGCTACTTCTTGCGACTGCAGTCAAGCAATTTCAACCCAGATAAGTAATATATTTGTTCCAAAACAATAAAATAAGCTACATGTTTAGGGGGTGTTTGAAAGTTTGATAGTGGTTGCTTTTCGAAATGTTTTTTGCTCGAAAATACATCAACATAATGTTTTTTTATTTTTTAAAAATCATTTTTTATATTAACACATTAAATCGATCCAAAAACAAAAAACAAAATTTAAGCAAAACAAAAATTCAAACTTTTGAAAAACACGGTTTTAACTGTGTTCCCAAACAAACACTTAATTTATAACATAATATTATTGCATCTACATGAATATTAGAATTTCAATCTACCGCATTCTCTCTTTTGTAAGAATATACATCCTTGCATTTGTAACATTCAAAGACTTGTATTTTATTTTATTTTCTCTTTCTTTTTTTCAAAAACCGGAGCCAGTAGTTTATTACTTAGGGATATTCCAAAACTTAATAATGACTAACTCTGTTCAACTATTGACAGAACGTGGAGGCTTTGTAACTCAATCAAAGAAAACAAAAAAAATAACTCAATACCATATCCTATGGGCTGGCTTTCATTCATCATCACCATCCAATTAATTATGATAAATAAATAAAAAAAGAAAAGCTCTGTCACAAATGTCCAATTCACCTCTTGTAATTGTGCGTTCATTTCTTCTTTAGTCTCTCTTGGGAGAAACAAGAGCTGCCTATGAAAATACTATGAAACAATAGCATGCATAGTTGCTGCTGGCTACGTGAAGGAATAAAATCATTTCATGAAAAGTTGTTTTACCTTTTATCCGTTTTAATCTCACTCCTTTCAAACAAACAGGAAATAGAAATAAAAAAAAAAAAACAGAAGTGGAGTAGAAAAACTCAAATAGTGTGGATCAGGTTGAGACAAGCATTAGCATACCTCATCATATAAATAAGGGAAAGGGTAATTAAGTATTTTGGCGTCCTCTGCCATCAAGTCTGGTCCATCCTGTGAAGAACAATTACATGTTGGGTAAATCATACCACAACTTCAACACAGCTCTGATCTGAAAGAATGGGTTTAATTAGGACCTGTGGATGAGTAGCTACTGAGTTTGAAGATATTGCTACAACTGCAAGTCCTTTCTGTAGCAGAACATAAATGGACTTCAATATGGTGTTTCTATAATCATTTGTTAAGTCATGGCATGTTCAATTGGAAATGAAGGAACCACATAAGAAGGAAATGGATTCAACTACCTTCATATAAAAATTTGTGAGCTTCACTATATCCTTCTTCAAGTGTTTAACGAAAGGGCAGTGATTGCAGATAAACATAACCTGCACCACCAAATCCTTATCACACATAAAATAACTGCATATATTTAAGTGAGATGAAACAATATCATTATTTTCTCTTTCAAAGACAATCCAATTTGGGAAATATAAAGAACTGCATGATTACTGAAAATTCATTTGCCAAGTTGGGACAATCAACTAAAGTTAACAGGCCAAGGGTTTCACACCCAAAACTCTAACAGTAGAAAGGCCCCCAAATATTACGGTCAAATTCATTCTCTTCTGCATTGTATTAAACTCATACAATTCCAACATCAAACACAAATATCTTGCATGTTTTTAGCCTAAGCAACGTACATTTCCCAGCTATGCTTCACAATGATCAAGATTCTATTCTATAGCCCAGCAGACCAAACTTAACTAGTTTCATCTCAAGCAACCTTCCATACTTTTATCACATTCTTCATGGCTGCAATCACCACTTTTGATCACTAAAATAAAAAAACTAAAATATTTCTTCTAGAATAGTCCAAACCATCAATCTACAAGTAAATATTAAAACTCAAATACAGGCATGCATAAAACATTCAAAAGAAAAAAAAAATTGAATTTTGGCAAATTCTCACTTCTTCAAACCACCGAATAACATTGAATTGCACTTATATAGTTCGCTCCAGCAACCATTGCTAAGATAAAGCAATTAAGCTAACTTTTCCAATAGAAACCACAACATCAACAAAACAAGATTTCATATCTTAAACTTTGTTTTCCTTTCTCTCGATTTTACACATTACAAATTGGACACCTATTCTACATTTATTCATCAGAAAGCAAAACGTTGTGGTTTGCTCAAAATATTGGAGAAACGACTTACCAGTAAAGCAGGATATGGCTCAAAATCTTCAAGTTTCCAAGTTTTCCCAGTGAGAGGCTCTGGCAACTATAGATATTTATATAAATAAAAAGAACGAGTCATTAACAACAAACAGCCCCATAATTATTTGGCATTCCTACGATGAACCAAATTTATAAACATGGATAATACCTCGAAACTGGGAGCTCTAAACCCTAAGGAGACACCTTGTGACTCGGTTCTAGCAGCGCGAACTTGAAGCTTCCTAGCATGTACAGTTTTGTTTATCACGCACTCGCGTTGCAGAGGATTAAGACCCATTTTCGAGGAATAAATCCATTTTGAGGAAACAATACTTGTGGTACTGATATTGGTTTTTGCTAGCGTGCGGGGGAGATGAGAAAATAAGCATGCCCGTGCGCCTCCTGCCATGGACGCCACACTCAGAGCAGTACAAGTGGTAGCCATGGCCGTGGCTGGGTCTCACTGATGATTGAGATTGATGGCGGTGGATTTTCTTCTTCTTTTTTTCTTGACCGTTAATAATGGCGTTTCAGTCTTCTCTGGAAAAGGGTAAAACAGTCATTTAAACTTCGAAAAGGGTGTGATTGTGCTTTGCAGTCGATCACAAAGGGTCATTGCGTTTTTTTCCTTGGGGCTTCGGTGGGTTGATAGAAAGTACGGGCTTTAAGAAAGCCCAAGTTTCTGATAAAGATCCATGACTAGATCCAAATAAAATGTTGTTCGATTTTTTTAAATGTAAAATCTATTTATCAATTTACTTTTTACCCAAAATATTCTTAAAAAAAAAAAAGGCAGAAAATCCTTTAAGAAATAAAAGAAAAGTAAGATAGATACAGGCACGCTGGGCTATTTGTTTTTAATGTCCGAGCCTGTATGGGTGGGCTTCCTCTTTTTTTTTTATCTATTTTATTTTTTATTTAAAAAAATTGATAAATCAAATAAAGTTCACTTAAGGGTTTTAGGGTTGATAGGGTAATTGGATATTAGACTATTATGTATTTTTATTTTTTTAATACTTTTTTATTTTTTAATTTAAAAAATATATATAATTTCACTATTTATTATCGATTATTTATTTTTTTATTTAACTCAAACCTAAAAAAATACAATTTCTTATCTTATTGTAAATAATCTAACTTTTATATTTTAGTTCCATGTGTCTATCATGATTTTTTTACTTAAAATACGTGTTTTATATAAAAAAAATATCATAAGCTAGATTGTTGTATAATTAAATAAAAAATAGTTTTTGGGATAAATTTTTTATTAAATCCTATAAAATGCATAATTTTTATCATGAGTTTGCTTGATTAACTAGAATTTACTTGATTTTTTTAATTAAATTTTTTTATTAATTTCATCTTTTAATATTAAATTAATTTAAAATTAAACTTTCTATATATTTTTTTTAAGATTATACCCACAAGCTTTACTGTATTTTTTTTTTTAAGATTATACCCACAAGCTTTAAAAGTCAATTTAAGTTAATTCAAGTGAATTAAATATTTTTTTAATCTTAGCATTAGATTGAAATACCGCTTAATTCATAATTAAAATTTTTTTTCTTAGAAAGACACATTGCCAATGTTGAGATAATTTTTTTCACTAAAATAAAAATTATTATGACTGTTACGTAGTGCAGGAAAATGAGCTAGCTTATTTATTATGGAGAGTAAAAGAGAGAATATGAAAGCAAATTAAAAGGGATTAAATAAACTTTCTAATTTAAACTTAAATGGATATTACACCTATGGAATTGAAGGTTTCTTTCCATGTGAATAAAATAATAAAATTATTTTTTATAAGTTATTAGTTTAAGTTTTATAATATTTATTAAAAATTTATATAATTATAAATTTTAAAACTCATCAAATTTTTTAAGATACACGTAAACTGATTAAATATTTATATTAATTAAAAAAGAAAAACAAACTTCACGAGAGAATCTTGTGCATTTACACCTTGTACAGTGTCATGTTGCTGTCTAGTCTCCTAATTAGTTTAATTCATTAACGTGCCGTCCATGTATATGACAGAAGTTCATTTTCTTATAAAAAGAGCTTGAGCTGTTCATGCTTCATAGTGAAAAATGTCGACCATACCCTTCGCTGGTTACTTCTTAATTGTTTTAACAAGGAATCCGTTGTGTTCACACCGTCGTTTGTTTCTTATACATATATTATATATGCTAATGATCTTAAGAAATCTTAAGGGTATTAATTAAAAGTTAAATTAAAAAAATCATTAAAAAACAAATGATTAAGCACGCGCCCATGCATGTCTAAGCTTGGAAGGTTAGGTTTGCTCATCTGGTTTTGTTATTTTTTATTTAAAACAAAAGAGAATAAAACATATTATTTGTATTATTTTTTAATTCTTAAAACACTATCTAATTAGTTTAAAAACTCAAAATCAAATCAAGTAAAAAAAATTCACATATCTCAATTTACTTTTTATAATATGTTTGAAGGGCAAAACTATTTTCATTGAACTCCTTTCATTAAGACAAACTCATTCATACTAAGATTAAACTTTTTTATAGACATTCAAATATATTTTTATCTCTTTTATTTTTTCAGTGACTTTCTATCTTTTCTTTCAACAAAGAGCTAAAATGTAACAAAAATGAAGTCCATGATTGAAGGTAAAAACCTAAAATAACCTAAAATAATATGGGGGTAAATATGCATAAATTAAGATTCTATAGGGGGTAAATATGCATAAATTAAGATTCTAGAGACCAAATAAGAAGTTTTCCATATCTTTTGAACAATAAAAATGAAAATGGGTTCTATTTTTTAGGTGCTAATTTAGTCATTGTTCTTTTAAATTTTTTTAACTATGACATAAAATTTTATTCTATAATATTAATCTTTAATTTAACTTGAAATATTCTATAACATATCGAATACACGAGAGCAAGCAAATCAAAACAGACCCAACACATAAAATCATGTCAGCATATCTTATGATGATAGAATTCAAGGACTTGAAGGAAACAAGTAGCTATGAGCGGTAATGTGTTAGTGAAATATAAGAGGATCTATAGTATATCAATAACAAAAAGCTCACATGATTTAGTATATTATTACTAGCTATGTTCCTTAGCCGCAAGTTGGACAATTGTTTTTGAATTGGAGCACTGATACATACAACGTTATCTACCAACATAAACGCACTGGACACATGAATTGGAGCAATGCTTGCTATAAGGATCTCCAAAGAAAGAAGCAGCAGCAGAAAAATTAATAAAAAAATAGTTTTTAGCCCCAATTTTTAAAGGTAATTACCAATTATACCAGTGACATGATTTAGTTAGGCCTTAATTAATGCGAGGTATGTCAATATTTGCTTAGAACGCCAAAGTGTTCTTGAAGAGGTGACAACCTGGTAATCCATCACATAATTAATTAATAATTTCCATAAATAAATATCAAAACAAATATGTTTTTCTCGTTAAAAACGACACATTTATGCTTCTACAAATACGCGACATAACTAACCTATAGCTTTCTTGAAATTGATTTGAGTTAATGGTAAGAAGAACACACATACAATCTGAGGTTTCTATTTTAATCTTGTTTTCCAGTTAATTTACTAATGTGGTAATCCTTCATTTACGTACGATTGATCTCATTCACAAATATATATTCCTTCCGTAACGTATCCGGACAGCCATCTTCATATGAAAGAAAACCCCAGAAAAATTAATACATGTTATGCGGAGTTGTGGATAAAAATGCCGGCAGCTAGTTTTACAGAATAATACTGCATGTCAGAGTAGTATTAGTTCACATAATGCGATTAGATTACTATTTGTCGGCATGATTAGCTTAAGCAGCTAGCGTCAAAAGATCCCATGAAGAGAGATTTGCTGATCACCCAGCGTGGTTTATGACACCATAACTACCAGAGAACAGCATGCATTCCACAATAAAATAGAATAAAAGGCTACCCTGCAACTAGTAAAAGAGTTATAATTAATTATGGATGAAATAAATAAGCAGAAATCCAACAATTGGTCTACAATGTCAAATGAATCCATGGTGTTCTTTAAGCAGTTTCAATGTCAAAATCCAGTGATCTTGAAAGCATATTTTTATTAAATATCCCAATGGCCTGCATCCCTTTTTCTGTATACAAAAATTGTCGTGAGGTTTAGGTCCTGTGTGTCTCTATTTCTTGTTTTCCAAGAAGGGATTAAACTCAAATGATCAATACTAACGTTTTTGTAATTCTGTTGGAGCTTAAAAGGGAAATAGGAAATTAAGTTAAATATTACAATAAAACAGGGTCTAAGAAACCCTTCAATATATATATATAAAAAGGAAATGAAGGAAAATTAAAAATTCTGAAATCTCATAAAAGTTCGATGAAGTGTTCTTTGTTTTCCAATTAAAAAAACTTCGCATGATGTGTTTTATGTTTTCCAATTACATTTCACAGTGGATCATAGCTAGGTTAAATGAGACATACACACACACACAAAAAAAAAAAAATTACTATTTTCTGCATGACTTTCTGGAATGGAAATATTCCATTTCCCGGGAGAGAGACAACAAAGGTCACTCCAGAAAGTAGTCGGGTTATTCTATAAAGGAGGTCCCACCGGAGCATCAAAAGGATGCTGCTACCTTCTCAAATCCACCCTCCTACAGTATAATAGGATTGATTGTATCATTCCATATTTATCTTCTTTTAACCTAATCCCTCTACTAATTGTTTTTCAATAATTCTTTAAGTACTCCATTATCGTCAAAGAGCGTTGTTCCTCGGATAGTAACAGTTATTTTTATATTAATTTTTATGTTTTATAAAAATAAAGGTCTTGTGGCGTTGGCTGTGTTTTGCCGAATATTTTATAGACAACTTGATAGGAAAAATAATTAAAAAGACATATTGAAAGCGTGAATGCGCGTGCTCATGACTTCTAATTCGATTCAATTACTATCCAATTGAAGTAAACTATGTAAATTCAAAAAACTTATTCAGAAACTCTGTGGGCCTTCTGTTGTTCGAATAACTAAAACTGCCTCGAATTACTTATATTAAAAAAAAAAAATTATCCTTTCGAATCATTCTTTCTTTTATTTCAGTATTAATTTATCTTCTTTATTATAGGAATTGTTGTATTGTTTTTAACTAAACAGATTTAATTAAAGATAGAGGTCCACGTTGCTGAGAGAGAATTGAGGGGAGGACCTATACCAGACAAACCACCGTACAGAGGAGGTGGAAACCGGAGTAAAGGCAGAACGCAGGAAGTGCAGGGTGGCAAGGTGTCATTTATAGATAAAGTCATAGGACCAAAAAGCGCCCCCATGCCCGAGAGAAAAGATGGACATGCTATGGCAAGAACTGGTACGTATCAAGAACGAAAATGGAAATCGTCTGTTGCCGAAGGTTTTTCTTGATGATATATAATACCTTTAACAAGTTATTATGTTACCCTTGGGGAGACTCGTTAATTAATCGTTAAAATTTTAGGCAAGAATATTGGATACGTCCAGATGAATACCCGATTGAAATCCCTCTGAAAACTTCATGGTGGATTTAATATATACTGCTGATTTGGATGATTATGTTTCTTGGAG